CCAAAACAATCTTCCGATGACGACAACCACCAAGCGATAACGATGACGTCACTCGCTCAAATATTTTACGCTTGCAAGAATTAACATCATCCACATTTGCATGGTAACATCATCGTTTTAGAGGGTTTAATTAATTTTCTGTGATCTTATCTAGTTATAATTATCACTATTGCCTTGATGATGCGAAGAGTTGGCAGAAACCTTTTTGTGGAGGGTCACCATGGGGATGAGTAGTGATTAGGAAGCCAAGTGACGTCACTCATTCATAAACGTTGTGTCGTGTATTATTGCGCACCTACGATGAGAAAACATGAAATTTGAATCTATTCAACCATAAAATGGTGCGATTTTATGGTGTGTAAGAAACAGATTACTGTACTCGTGTCTGTCAGATACCATTTATCTTACAACTCGTTGTTTCAAAACGTATTTAACTCGCTTTCGCTCGTTAAATACATTTTGAAACAACTCGTTGTAAGATAAATGGTATCTGACAGACACTCGTTTAGTAATCTCTCTATATATACTGTCATCAACAATAACACGTCTTGATCATAGGAGTCGTTGTGACGGGGTGTTTGTTGTGACGTCATAAACAGGTCACATGATAATGACGTCATATAATTGTGACGTCATAATCGACGTGGTCTTATTTATACATACGACTTGAGCAAAATAGAAACGACGCTAAAGTGAGTAGAATGTAGAATGTCAGCTTGGTCATAGACTTGATAGTGAGAAAAGAATAGAAAGTCATCAACTCTTGTTCTCGATACACAGACAGTTGCAGTCTGTGAGCAATCAGCAGGACACAATTCTAAGCTGGCTGGTCATTCGCAGGGACGAATACAGTTTAGTTTTTTTTCTCCGAGAGAGGTATGCAGAGTTTTACAGCAAGAGTGATATTTCAACCAAGTTTTCGTTCCTGCGCGATTGGGAATTCATGCAAGGACATTTCTGAAAATCACTGCCTGCCTCGAAAGAACACTTTGACAATAACAGAGCTTCGGAAATTTTATTCATATTATTTGAAGATTTTTGCGAGTCTCGTACTGTGCCTTGTATAGGCAATTAAAATAAGATTGGCATCTCCTCTATTAAAATGTTGTTTCACCGCGCATATAATGATAATGAGTGAGTTTAGTTTTACGCCGCACTCAGCAATATTCCAGGTATATGGCACAGGCTCTCGTGTCTTTGCGAGGATTAAAGATAAATACAATATTGTTTTTGAGATGACCCCCGACTCGAAATGCTTCACAGTACAATGCATTATGGCAAGGCCGGACACTTCGATGCACCCCACCCGACTGTTTTGCCGATCGCTACGCTACCATCGCATGCAATCGGTTAACACTTAATTGAAACCCGATTTTGACTCTCAACTAAACGATCTTGACACAAATGGATGACGATATAACCGCACAAAACGTGGGTGTGGTCGAAACAAGCCCGCCAGTTGGTTGACGTTTTGTGTGGATATATCGTCATCCACTTGTGTCAAGATCGTTTAGTTGAGAGTCAAAATCGGGTTTCAATCGACTTGCAGAAATAACAATAAAGAATTGGTAGGTGTCATGAGTGGTTCTCGATAGGCCAACCATCCATGTAGCGATCGGCAAAGCAGTCGGGTGGGGTGCATCGAAGTGTCCGGCCTTGTCATAATGTATTGTACTGTAAAGCATTTCGAGTTGGGGGTCATCTCAAATTTGTATATGTTTTTTAAAAATTATATTTAATCCTCGCAAAGACACGGGGGCCTGTGATAAAAACCGGTACCACAGACAATAGCCATTTTCTGTTGAGTGGATTTTACGGCTCCACACCTGTCGGACGCTGTCGCATGGGTTAATGATTTCTGTTCAGACAGAGTTATCTCCCTTATTAGTTTGCAGTGCTGGCATCCTTAACTCAGAAAGCGAGTGGAGTTGGGCGTGACAAACATCCACGAAAACAAGATAAGTTTCTTCAGTATGGGACGGCTGGATTTAGGACAAAGCAAGACTGTCATATATTACTTTAAACACTGACAAACAGTAAACTTGTTGAATTTAGCGTATAACGAGGAAGCGATTACCGGCTACAAGAGTCTTTAGGTTTTGGAAATGTTATCTTCCATGAGACTAAGTTCCCTTGTCATTAAAGCAACGCAAATTACCTGTCGTCAATATTTTATCAAATTTGTCAAATAATGTCACGTGTGTTATAAAGTTCTTTTAAAGGTGTCACTGTTAAAATTAAACATTTTTTCGAGTTTGTTTCGTCACATCGTCACAGGTAAGCCGCTTTCTCAATGTTGAGTGTTCATGATGTAACCTTCAAAGAGGCCTATATAATTCTTTGTCGTATAAATACTTGAGTCAGTTTTTTTCTTTTGTTCAACATCGCTACAAACAAAACAAATATCTGGAAGTAATGTAATTAACTTATGGGTGTATTTTTCGATATTCACTAATAACAGTACTTTTATAGTAATAAATTTACTTAATATTGTCTCCCAAAAACTTAACGTATCTATAAGGTGTATTTTTAACGAATTTTTCGTTCATTCATGTAATTCTGGATAAGTTTCAGCCAAATATCACAGTATAAAAAATGAAATGTCTGTTAACATGTTCAGCATAAAATGGTCAATAAGTGAAGGCGTCCGTTCCCAGTTGGGCGTTGTCTCTAATATCTGCTGTGGCACCACGAGCCCCCAAAACTGCCCTGCATCGTCTCGACATGGACTGAATAAGTCTTTGAATTCGACTTTTTGCAATCCTTGGCCATTCCTCTTTCAATGCCTGTGACAGTTGATCAAACCTCTGGAGCGCAGGTTGACGTTCACATACACGTCGGCCGTCATCTCAAAATACTCAGTGGAGTTAAGGTATGGCGATTGGAAGGCGCATGGAAGCAGTGTAATGTTCTCATTCTGAAGATACTGAGCAGTGGTGTAGGAATGATGTTTGTATTTTGTTGTCCCCCCCAACCCGCAACGCGGAACGGGGGACTATATATGTATTGATTGGCGTCTGTCCGTACGTCCGTACGTACGTCCCGATTCGTGTTAATTCTTGCGATATCTCATGAACTGTTGTACCCAATGTCTTCAAATTTGGTGACAGCTTACATTGGGGGATTTAACAGACACCAGTTTATTTAAGTGACCTTGACCTTATTTTCAAGGTCACCACGACACTTTGACCACTTTTCAAACACTAGTTAACGCGATATCTCATGAAATGTTTTACCCAATGTCTTCAAATTTGGTGACAGCCTACATTGGGAAATTATGCAGACACCAGTCGATTTGGGTGACCTTGACTTTATTTTCAAGGTCACCACGACACTTTGACCACTTTTCAAACTCTTGTTAACGCGATATCTCATGGACTGTTGTACCCAGTGTCTTGAAATTTGGTGACAGCCTACATCGGGGGATTACGCAGACACCAGTTTATTTTGGTGACCTTGACCTTATCTGAAAGGTCACCATTATTGGCATTATTGGCATGAGTATATATAACAGCACGCAACCTGCTATGGATGGTCCAGACTAGTTGGAACTTGATTTCAGTGTGAATGAGGTGAGGTGAGGTGGTTGTAACTGGTGGCCTCCCGCTTCTGGGTCTGTCTCTAGTTGTGCCAGTATTCTGGAATCGCTGACGCAGCCTTAAAATGGTGAGGCGATGACACCCGAATGCAGCAGCCACTTCCCGATCAGTCGACCCAGTCTGCAGCATTCCAATGGCCCTCTCCCGCTCTTCTGCTGTTAATCTCCGCATTGTAGTGAATGTATGGTATGAAATGATAAATCTAGGGGCCTTATATACCCGTTTTCAACAGTTTTCACGTGCATTTCATGCAAGGTGAAGTTACAATGGGTACGTTTTGGCGTTATGCTTCCTTATACAAGGACAGAAATAGGCAAAATTTTACAGTATCTAAGGGAAAAGTAGTCTTTTCTCGTTTGACGACTCTTCCTAAAACAGTCGAAAGTCATGATGATCCAAAAATTAAACCTCAAGTGGTGAGAATGTGTTTTAAAGAGACAAAAATCCAATTTCAGCATTGGGTCCCTTTTTACGGTAAACAACCATTCTTTCACATCCAAAACCCAACTTTATCACTCTTTGTGAATGTGCATGCATTATCATCATAAACAATATCATTTGGACCCATTTGTAACTGTTTTTTACACTTTTGATTTGAATTTTTATATGATTGAAAAAAAGACAATGGACCCCACCTAAACAAACATGTCGATATCCTAATTATCAATGACTTCCTCAGTCTGATGTTTTGACTCAATAGAGTTACATGATTGGTTGTTAAAACATACCAAACCAAAGTCTTCTATCCATATAACATCTTAGGATATTCTAATGTTCAGAGGTGTAACATTTCTTTTGGCGTTCAGTTTATTTAAGTAAGTGAGTGAATAGTTCGCGTCGCGTAGTGGTTTGTCACTAAACAAACGTCAAGTCAGAATAAGCGTGGTGGCATAATGTAAGGCTCGGCTTCCTCGCCATTACATGTAAATAACGATGATGTGTAATATTGTGAATTCATATTGTTAGCTTATATAATTACTCGTCGTTATTTTCACGTTATATTTTTCTATTCCCTGCCACCACTTTGTGTTAACAGGGAATATCCACTCATATACACGATGCATATTTCCAAGCTGAAACAGTCATGGAACCTTACTCATAACATCAATCACTTTTATGATGAATGAGTGAGTTTAGTTTTACGCCGCACTCAGCAATATTCCAGCTATATGGCGGCGGTCTGTAAATAATCGAGTCTGGACCAGACAATCCAGTGATCAACAGCAGGATCTACGCAACTGGGATATAATAACATGTGTCAACCAAGTCAGCGAGCCTGACCACCTGATTCCGTTAGTCGCCTCTTACGACAAGCATGGGTTACTGAACACAAATTCTAATCGTCACGGATGGAATATATCATAGACGTACCGCGGGCATATAACACTCGTTAAAATCAAATAGATGTGGTTCGTGATGTGTTTATTTCTTAATTAAAAACATGTAATGTATAGATTTACATAAAGAAACGTTAAATATATTAAAAACCTTCACATGAGGAATGAAAAGTAGTATTCCATGAGCAACACTAACAGAATGTATGGCTCCGTAAATGACATATATCAACAATGTAAAAGTAAATGGCAATGTATACTGTGCCAACAATGATTGAAAATATATTTCTGATAGTACTGCAAATAAGCGAAAACAATGGACATATTTCTCCATACATTTTCATGGAATTCTGGAAGCATTATCAGAGGAGCACCACTTGTGTTAAGGAATATTGTTATCGTCATGGATGGAAGATTTCATTAACACACAATTACACACAAGGAATTATTACAGATGAAATGTGTACATGTACTTTCATTCGAAGAACAAACAAATATACTGAGGGAAATAAATAAGGGAACACCACTTCACGGCAGTGTTCCTGTAATATTCTCCGATTTCCTCCCTCAGCGCTACTGAAAGCTTAAAATATAAATGGAAAATATCAAAGGAACGCTGGAATTTTCCTTTGCCCTTATTTGTTTCTCTCAGTATAATTGCATGGTAACAATTGAAATAAACACTCATACCAATAAATATTCCATTAAAACGTCAATTCATGTTCAGTTAAGTTTCCTTCAATGAACGCACGTCTGGAAGACTGTTTTACGATAAGAAATTGAATAAAATATGTTGTTGATATAAGAAGACGGACCCTCCTTGGTTGTACCTATATACATTTCCTTTGTAACACAAAGTCATAACCATAAGAACAAATTTTGTAAAGTAACAGGCTATTTGTAACAAGACTTGGTATAACTTGGATTTGTTGTCAAAAGTTGCATGGATGTGCCATACTTATATGGCGAATATGTCATGAATGTAAGAAGATTCTCACTTTTGTTAAGGGAAGAACGGTCATTCAAACGTTAGGATCGGATCGGATCCGGATCCGAAATTGATTATAATGTTTTGGTGGTTTTATAGATCTTTAGGCCAAACCGTTTTTGGTTTCTGATTTTATTACTGTAAACATAGATTGTAGTTAATAATATTAATAACATTAAACCCAAGCCATTGTTCCATTTTATTATTTCAGTGGTCTAATATTTTGAAATTATATTGTCATCAACAAAGTACGTTTTGTACCTGTCTGCGGGTGAATGTTTATATTTTCACGCAATTTTAAAAGATACTGAACAAATATATAGCCTTGTATAATGCCACTTGTTCTGATCAATCGGGTTTATCTACGCCGTCCTGGGTTTAAGAAATCAAACGTGCCCTGTTTTGTTCTGTTTGACGGTTCTTCGCCAGTATATAATTATACAGTGTCATTGTGAGGTATCCCGTGTTCCCGACATTCACATTATCAATTCAGACATTCCGAATAGCACTTGTAAAGACATTAACCAATTCTGCTTCCACAATTAATTATACAAGACTAAAACATATCACACGTATTTTTACGATAAAAGTAAATATTGAAAAAAAGTATTGAAAACTAGCACAAAAATAATCTGTTCTCAACGAAAAACATGCTATAAAAGTTATAAAAATAAATATCTTCACTGATAACCCGTCTATGTTCACTGATAACCCGTCTTCAGCATTGTGTGACTTTCTTTCACTCTCGTTAATAGATGTACGACATCTTTGGCAACGATGTAGTCTCTTTGGCGTTTGCTACTATAGGACGTGATCTCACGAAGTGAATTCGGCATCACCTGACGTGTGACGTAACTACCGATGCTTTGATCGTGGTTGCTGAGGAGGCTCTCCATAGTACAAAGTATCGCCAGTATTTTCTCCATTGCTTGGTCGAGGGAAGATTTGAGTGTGTTGTTGAAATCGCTGCTATCGTCAGCTTGTACAGCCTCGAGAAACACGTAAGCGATAGAGAGGTTCTCGTAATCTTTCTTCAGAACGGTTGCTGTCTGTAAATTGAAACATATTTTTACGTTTAAGTATGTTATGGGTCTGCGAAAGATGTAATATCAGTAGATATATTTTAACTTAAGCATGCAAAGAGTGAGTGAATCACGCCGCCTTAGCAATGTTCCAGAAATATCACGGCGGGGGACACCAGCAATGGTCTATCGATGTACTTTGGGTGAAAATGTTCACAACTTGCCCGATCAGTTAAAAGCTTGTTGACTTACGGAGTTTTTGTCCGTCCAAAATATGACGTCATCGGGTGAGGGAAAGTTGACGTGGGTTGATCCTTCCAATACGAGAGCAAGGGTCACGCTGGAGTCCAGTCGATGGATAGTCTGAGGTAAGAGCAAAGAGTGTTATCAAAATGATATAGAAACGAATACCTTCAGTGTTATGCACACTACTTCCCACAGGTGTTTTCAGCGCAATGGTACTGGTAAACTCAGAATGATATACCTTAACTGTTGACCATGATGAATATGCACGTGTGGCACAGTCCCTTACGTTCCAGGGGTGATGGGTATAGAACTTACAAGTTGGGAAGGCCTCAGCGAATATATTCATAGTGTGACGGTACCACCGCAAATGGCACTCAAAGCATCGAATACGGTTCTATATTCTTACATCTTATTGGTCTTGGTAGCAATTATTGTTATGTTCCGCTGCTAAAATAATATGTACATTATTTGCATGTTGTAGACAGACACAGTCGAGGGGCACTTCTCAAAGATACAAGTCTCGTGACATCTACAATCGCATCTCGCGAGACTTCATAGCCCTGTGCAGAGGAACTGCAGACGAGAAGTGATGATGCACACCAATATACCCTTGTGTGAGAGACGGACGGATTCATGACTCAACAGATGGTTTATACCCCTCAATACCTGTGGACACATCACACTGTAAATACAACTATCACTTAAAGAAATATACAAAGATATACATACTGCAGTTTCACGGAGTGCGATGGCGTTTTGATGGGATTCCTTGGTTCGGGTGTACAACTCGGCCGATAGGTCTTTGTTGGACGGTCCAGTCGATGGGTCATCGAAAATACCTCCCCATGATAATGTAGGAACGTGGGGACCACATGGCGTTGACCAGATTCCCGGCACGGGGTTTCCCAGGATGTTGTCTATGAGGGGGGCAAAGACGAGTACGCAGATTCCTAAAAAAAACCCATATTAAATAGTGAGTGAGTGAGTTCAGTTTTACGCCACACCAAACAATATTCCAGGTGTATGGCGGCGGTCTGTAAATAGTCGAGTCTGGAACAGACAATCCAGTGATCAATAGCATTATCTACGCAATTAGGCTACGATGACATGTGACATGTGACCACCCGATCCCGTTAGTCGCCTCTTACGACAAGCACGGGTTACTGAAGACCAATTCTAACCCGAATCTTCACGGGTTCATATTAAATAATAATGGTCAGAAGGTCGGTGGATGTGGTGACTTAAAAAGGTCACTATCAAACGTGCCTGTCAGGTGCCGATGTATTGGATCATGTGATTAGGTTTGGTCACGTGGTTCAATGTACATCACCCTACATCGTCAAAAGGTTTCTCTGGTCCAGACTTGATGACGTACACATGGTCAATGCTGAAGTGACGTTAAACAGCAAATGTCTTCAAGAAGTAATATCATATCTCCCAAACTAGTGTGAGTGACTGAGTATGGCTTTACGCCACGTTTAGCAATATTCCAGCAATATCACGGCGGGGGACACCAGAAATAGCCTTCACACACTGTACCCATGTGGGGAATCGAACCCGGCGTGACGAGCGAACGCTTTAACCACTAGGCTACCCTACTCTCATAAAGTAAACCTAACATTGAAGATAGTCCATATCAACTGCAATATGAAAGTAACACCTTAATATTTTCATGTATATTGCAAGTACGAAATGAATCTATTTGATGTGAGCATTGGGTTCCTGAATTCATGGTTATTGCGTCTCTTAAGGACTGTACCGACTCTGACACTATAAACATGATAATGATAATGATAATGGGATAAAAAAACCCACTACTGCTAATAATCTAAGCATTTCTACTGCAAACGAAAAATACATAATATTAACATGACTCAATTAGAGCTTTCCTTCATAAAGTACATGATACTGAGGAACACTTCTTGTAGCAAATCCGAGCCCGAGCAAAACCGTGTGATATTTCAAACAGCTGTTAATAGGATTGCAGCGTGAACGTGAATGCTTAGGCGCGATTTGTCGCTCTAATGGAGGTTTGGGTTCAAATGACACATTTGCCCGCCTCAGGCTTAATCTAACGTTACGTTCACTGTGTATGACAGATATTGACTTTTCTTGGAAATTAAACCTATATAACACTTTGTTGTAGTGTCTATGAAGCGGTTTTGTCATACGATATGTTCAGAGGTACATAATTATATACATGAGTTTATATTTATCGTTAATAAATGATAAAATATCCTTTTTGCTGGAGAAATATCTGACAATGATTAGTGTTTAGTTTATATGTTTATTTGTTCAATAAACACTGCAATATCTCATTACATTTAATAGATCATATCGTTGGTGTATAATTATTGATTTGTCTACGTCATCTGATGCACAGCTGTCAAATACATTAACATGCTTGACGAACCACTGCTGATGTTGAACGAACATATAAAGTTAATAATAGCGATATACACTTACCGGTCTTGAAAATAGACATCGCTTCGTATATCGTTGTTGGTGTGGTCAAATGAGCTGTCGTGTTCACTCCAGTTCAGGTATGAGAATGGTGCCATCTTTGCCATCTTATATACAGCTTCTGTGGAGGGAAATCCGGGAGAATAAAAATATCCGTCAATTTTTCCCATTCGAGCCATCGTGAGCTTCTGTGTAGTTTCCAACACTCTTTGCATCCCCATCTTGGAGTTCGACCCAAAACGAGGCTGTCAGTAAATCCATCAGCCAATGGCTGAATCTGTTCTGCATTTTCTGACGTCATTGCCCATATACGTAAACATGATCCTGCTATGGTGGTGGGCTTTACAACAGGTAAAGCGCAGGAATTCTCACCTTCAGAAACTGCCCAACGTCCGGACTGGATGCTGAACATTTCGCAGGAAGGGGAATAGATCGACAATTACCTGTTACTGATACAGCCAACGCACTACCTACGACTAGGATTAGTATGTGTAATAGCAAGTGGCAATACCGGCTTATTCAAACCTGATATTATACGTGTTTGACCCAGGATGTCTTAAAAGCTTTTAAGGATTTACGTGAGTTGTAAATCCTACCATGAGTATTTCAGAAAATAACCTTTCGATATAAACTGACGGGCAAACGAAACTATACACCCATTTTAGATGGTTGCTGAACATGAAACAAACACGATTCGATTATTCGAGTGTAAGGTAAATAAATTTTTATTTGATACGGGAATTATAGTTGAGGTTTGGTCATTCAGCTTGCAATGTTTCCACGGCTGTTCTCAGCCCAGTAACGTTTTCATAACGTTTGATATTGTTTTGGTTAAATCAAGTTTTCAAAAATGTTGTTTCTTTTTGCGGGCAATTTACCTGAATACATTTTGAAATTTTCCCAGTTATTAAGATTCTTTTTACAACAGACCTGATTTAAATAATGCGTGTGTATATGGGTTGCTGCAAATTGCAATATTGTCTGGGTTTTCTGTTTCAGTATCAATACACATTGATCATTCACAGGGCTGTTTGGATTATTTCATTGTGTAACGTGTATTTAAACAAGGCAAAAGAAAAGCACTCAATTAAACAATAATTTCACAAAACACGGATGTAACATTCCAAAGGAAAATGTATTTCATTTCTTGTGATTCTGTTAGTCAAATTCAAAATTTCACAGAAGAAACAGCGAATATATCACCAAAGCTGCTCAAATTTGAAGGTGTATTATTACGATAAGCTTGCAGTTTAATAATATGCTGAAAACATTAAAAAATGCAAAACTATGCACACATACTGACTCAACAACAGCGGTAATTGACACAACGAAAAGTCGTAGATTTCGGTGATGATAATTAATATTTTCTAATATTCTTAACATCAACAATACCAACAGTCAGCAACTATTATTATTCTGTGAAATAAACGGACGGGAAAAAGAAACTATACCTCTGTATTTGTTTGAGGCTAAAACTGAAAGTTTCGGATGCACATGCACCCTGCCACAGTCATCTGGCCTATTGCCGTTCCGTGGCCTCAGGGTGCGTTCAGGCACTACCTTGCCTTTTTCTTGGGCCTGGGGTTGCGCTATGGCAACGGGTAAGGAGTCGGACGAACACTGCTTATAACTGTCTACATGGGGTAGCTTTGTAGTTTAAAGCGTTCGCTCTTTACGTTGATGGCCCGGGTTCGATTGTCCACATGAGTAATTAATGGGAGACCAATTTCTCGTGTCCACCGCCATGGTATTACTGTAATATTGCTAAAAGCGGTGTCAACCTGAACTCACTATATAACATTCATGTTGCGGCACCTGTCCAATTAAAGATTAACGCAACAAGTTTTGACCTCAGTCAATCTCTTCAGACTTAGAACCAGACACAAAATACTTCGAATTCGACACAGACCGGGGAACAAATATTATTTATTATTGGATACTTATATAGCGCACACATCCACGCACTAGTGCATGCTCAAGGCGCTGGTAGTTTTTCCCTCGATCATTGGATGTCAATCTCAACGGCACATCTTAATATCAATCTAAACTACCTGGGGAGCATACAACTCTTGCAGCCACTAGGCGCACCGAGTTATTGCGGCTTTCTCATCCGTACGAGGTACCCATTCACAGCTGGGTGGGCTGGGACTGACTGTACCCGCAACTAAGTGTTTGCACGTATTCATGTGGCCACCATCTGGTCATATACCAACGGATTCGTGGGTCCTTTTAAGTGCACGGGGCTGCGACTGTACACTAGGGGTTGTGACAACACTGAAAGAGTCTGCACACAAAGTTGACTCCAAGGTTTTTACACCCGGTCACAGTTGGGCTCGATCCCGGCACCTCATGCTCGCTGGATCACTAGCCTGGCGCCCTAGCCAGCTCACCCACCGTTTGACTCCATCTGCTGACTTTCAAACCTGTATCCCTTACATGGTGTGACTGCATCATTACTGAAGTATTGGAACCTGACCAACACGTCACATGTCCCATACAACCTTCTGATTCCTTCAATAAACTTATCACATTATGGACACATGCATACCTCATGGTCGGAAAATTAGAGAAAATTATTTCCGGAGATTCACTCCTTTAATCTCACATGATTAATATGTTCTGTCTCTCTTGAATTGTTAAAAGGCCATGCCAGCATCGACTATATCACGAGAAAAGCCACCACTCTAAATGATGAATTTTAAAATTTTTCTGATGTCTTTGGGATGTATTTGTTTTACCTAATAACACTTCTTGTAGATTTGGATAACCTTTGTAACTATTAAATACAACTTTTGCGTGTACCTTCTTTCGTAGTTTTGTTAGCTAGAATGTCAGCTACATAAGAAACATGTAATACGTTATCAGATTCACACTATTAAATTTTCAAATTGTCAATGTAAAGTTAAACATTTCACAAATCACATGAATATTGAAAATATTTTCTTTGTTCATACGATTCCGATTTTAATGGTTTCTTTCCTCTTCAGAATAAGCCATGATAGTTGCTATTAACGATTACAGTGATTCAGTCGTACCATTGCCCCACGCCCGACGCCCCGGTACGGAAATATTAAAGGAAGGAGTGGTTCGTTTATCACTTCAATTCACAGCATTCATACGATTTGAATACTACTGTAGAATATCCAACATTTTTGCATTTAACAAATGATACTATGGCCAATCAGAACAAGACCATACACGTGTCGCTTGGCCAGGGACCTGTGCTGTTCCAATTCTTGACATTTTAAAAGGTTATATCAAATAATAATTATGAGTGAATATTCAGGAGTCTAAGATTTAGATTAGGTCACACACACGTCATTCATTAGATTATAGTATCTACAAGATCCCTTCCTGGTCACTGTTTGGATTTGGTTCGATTAGGCTTTCATTCATTCATTCGTTCGTACGTTCGTTCATGCATTCCTTCCTTCATTCCAAAAACAATTAAGACAGGACGGATATCGAAGCCTTTGCAAGTGATATACTTTCTGTACATATAAAAGTTTTCAATAAACGCGTTTTGTGACGTTTCGGTGGATTGTGCCAGTTGGACAAAACATTCGCGATTTGAACAGATTTCCCAGATGTGACACCGGCATGCGCTCTTGGTCACAGCGATGACGTTTGTCCCACGCTTGTTCATGCCTATTTCGCCCCCTGTCCTATTTCTGCTGCTTTCGCGAGTCACAGTTTGGCAATGATTGGTCTGGAATGGAGAGGGTGGTATTGTGGCATATGCGTCAAAGCAGGCGTCATGGACGACTTGCTACTACGCTGGTGTTACCACAACCACGTATGACACATCCAATACTGCACTCACTAACAGAGTGTCACATGCCTTATATTCCCCGAGGCAGCCGTCCCACAAATGTCAAAACTATAACCATATACTTCATATGGTACTGACAAAAGCGAAACTATTTCGCGCCTGTGCCAGATGCAACAGATACATGATGTAGATTGTGGGTGGACAACCACATGAGCAACGATGTCCGCAGTCTTATAACGGAGCAACCAAACTACACGTTGTCATTATACGTCGTAGGTAGTGTAGTAGGGAGGGCGGGAGAGTCACATTGGCTCGCTAAAACCAATATCCGGACATGATTCCCAAACATGTGTACACTGTTTTAAGTTTATTTGTCGTGCTGACTCTCTTGTAAGTATTAGTATCATATGTGACAAGCTGCATCGGATGCTATGGATTTCTCTAAATAGCACATGAAGCAGCTTGCACCGAGTTTAGGTAAACTGAAAGTAGAAAGGTATAATACTTGCTGTGTAAATGTGTCGGCCTTGCAATGAACTACATAGTACTAACGTTCACAGGCAATGCACCGAGTTTAGGTAAACTGAAAGTAGAAAGGTATAATACTTTAATGTGTACATGTGTCGGCCTTGCAATGAACTACATAGTCCTAACGTTCACAGGCAATGCACCGAGTTTAGGTAAACTGAAAGTAAAAAAGTATAATACTTTACGGATAACAACTTCTTTATGTGTTATGATGCGACGTTTCGGTATAGCTTCTTAAACTGTTGTCAAGCCAGAGCACTATCCATAAAGTATTATACTTTTCTAGTATCCATCAGCTTCTAAAATGCCAATCAAACGGATAAACTGAAAGTACATGTGAAATACACAATGCCATTTTAGACAGTGATGAAATGTAACATGTTATATTTGGGAAGACACTTTCTCAGTAAATTTTAAACGCTGCCATTTATGAAGCTCCTGTTTGCACACAATTGTGCATGCTCAAAGCGCAAACACATTATTACCCTGGATAACCCAAGCTGCCTGTTAGGATCCAGACGGTTATAGTCACATGACTTTATCCCTCCGGGTACCCATTTTCTGCTGGGTGAACAGAGGCAATTTTGAACAAACTCACTTGCCTAAGGTGAGACCACATGTATCACATGTGCTTCGTTGTGGGGTAGAAACTCTCAGGAGTCAGTCACTATGCTGTTGGTAGTGGTGTTCTTGCTTTCTTGCAACTTAAGACTATCAATCAGCTAGCAAAGCTGGAACACAGAGGCGACTAGAGTATTATTTCTCCTTCATAAAAGCCAACTCAAAGTACGGTGGTTGGTAAATAGTCAAGCCTGACACCTTAGCATCGATCTCCGCAACTTGGTTGCGATCGCTTGTATCAACAATGGTAACGAACCTGACCACCCCTTTCCCATTTAACCGCC